CGCGTGCAGAAGACGCAATAATTGGGCAATCCAGAATTGGTAACCAGTGACACGGCCGACTGTCCCCGGCCCAGTGTCGATTCTGTTGGCCTGAGCCCTACAGTGACAGGTACTGTAGGTGGCTGCCCTGTGCCCGGAGACCGAGTGCCATCAGTGCTGCCACCTTGTTTCAGAGACAGGTGGCGCCTTGCAGTGTTCACCGTATCTATACGAAAAAAACACTTATGTAAAGTGGCGATGACATTTCCATTATACTGTTAGATGATAATGAACAACAGGGATGACACAAAGAAAACTATATAGATAATTTACCTCTGAGGTCATGAACCAGTGACAAAGACTGCATAATGCTCGCAACAAGAAGAAATTTGATCGGCGCTACATGACTTCGTAGTCGAAGCGCCGGAAAGCTCCAGTTGCTATTACTAATGGTGGTTACAAAGTGCACTCATGCTCTGGAAATACTGCAATGCGTGACATTGAAAAAGGACCACATCTTGTAATCACTTTCGAAATTGATATCGGATGGAGCCATCGAGTGTGCGCAACGTGATGCTTTTTGGCGAGATGCATCTTAATTTATATCTAGTGGGGCTCGTAGTATTGAAGATGCGGAACCGCCAGGAGTGTACTGCTGTTCCGAATCGCATCCGTAAGAAGTGTGCTGCAGTGGTACATTCAGCACCCAGTGTCCAGTCTGGAACCCATTTGTCATTCACCACAAGCCGTAAAAAATAATCTGATCAAGAACACGGTCCGTTGCTGGCACGTCCTGCAACGCCGTAGCATTGTTGCTGCCGCCATCAGATTGCTTGTGCGTTTTCATCAATGCCTCTCAGTATTGTCCTTTGCAAATAGTTGGCTACTTTTCTCATTACATCTTCCCCTCCCCCTTCCCCATTTCTCCACTGAGCACCAACCCAACTTTGCCCTCCCCAGTGTCCCCAATTAGTTTCCTGTTACATCGTGTCCTTCGTCTCGCGCTGGCCACAGCTGTGCATCGCGTCTTCGCTGCGTTGCTCCACTCCAGTCCCTTCCCCGCTTGTGACAGCCACACAGCCCTGTTGTCATGGTAACCGGCATCGCCTGCTCCTCCGCCTGTCCGCAGTCTACTGGCGGCGGCGATCAGCCTGGCAGCCACCATCGCGCAGAAGTCGCCGGTGGCGGTGCAGTCGACCAAGCAGAACCTGATCTTCTCGCGCGACCACACGGTGCAGGACGGCCTCGACCACATGGTGGCCTGGAACGCGGCCATGCTGCAGTCGGAGGACATCATGAAGGCGGCCACCGCCTCCATGGACCGCAAGGCGCCCCCGGCCGATTTCGCTAAGCTGTAGCGACGCGGCGTCATCGCGTTGGTGGCGTGGAATGTTGGCCTAACGGCATGGCGTACAACTCAAATCCCCTCACACGTAATTTTGCTGCGCTTAGCGTAGTTGTTTTCCATGAGGCCGGCCTGTCCCACGTGGCTTCGTGTGAGATAGCAGGGTGTGAGTGCGGTCGGCTGAATGGACGCGACCGTCCCGCTCGGGTCTCTGCTGAGGCGAGAGCCGCCGTCGGTCGCCGGGGGGTGACTGACGCGGCCTCGGCGGCTCGCTCGCTCGCGCATCCCCGCGCGCCGGTCGTGGTCGAGCTCCGAGGAGGCGGACCGAACCTCGGCGTGGGTTGGGGCCGGACCGCAGCGTTTGGGGACGCTTGGGAGTGTGGTTGGAAAACGAAAGGTAGCACCAAGTGCTGAGTGGTTATCTATCTGTGTTACCGGAATGTGATGCTCGTTGCCACTGTGATGTGTGCGGGGGACGGGTGGAGATGATAACCATATCTAATGCATGCTTTACTGTTACCGTAACACAATGTTTTCACGGGAATCTTCCTGATCTATGTATTCAGGTCTGTTGGCCTGTGCCGCACCCAATGACGGGTGCTGCAGGTGGCTGTCCCGTACCCGGAGACCGAGTCCCGGCAGTGCTGCCACCTTGTTGCAGAGACAGGTGGCGCCCCGTAGCATGTTTATTTGACGAGGCGTGGTATACTGTCGGTTATCATATGGCACACGGCCTGCCAGCTGGGCCCGTTCCAATGGTAACCAGCGCGAAGGCTGCCGGCCGCGGTCGTCCTTGGCAGCCCGTGGCCATGAGGGTGTCAACGATCCGTTTTGCATGCCGGATGGTGCACCGGAGTGGGCGACCTGGGTCTCATGCGAGCAAGCTGATGGCGTCCGTAGGGTTTCATGAGATTTAGTGATTTAGTCTGTCCGTAACATCTGGAGGCGAGAGCTATACTGCATAGACAAAACACAAGGTGACAATCTCAGCTATTCGTGGGCGTTTGTGGTGCCAGAAACTCAGAGCAGGTGTTAAGTGTAAAGCTTTTTTTAATGCCTGACCGCAGCGAAATAAAGGAAGTATGCAGCCACGATTAAGAGGGTGCCAAAGCCATGCACATTGGCTGGTGAGGACCGCGTAATTTCGTGGATTGGGAATAAGGAATACACGCTTACCGGAGCAACCCGAGTTTCTGCGGCATCTATTTGTCATTGGAGGTGTTTCTTGGGCTAGGAGAGTTGCTACATGTGAGTGTCTTAAATAGCATTACAAATACCAAATCAATAAGACCGTGAATTCGTTCTGAATTTCATCCATAAGTGTTGTGTCGGAATGGCGCATTGAGCGCCAGGCGTCAAGACAGGAGGCAATACATTCCACTACATACAGCAATAGAATATACTATAATCAACGACATGGTCCGTTGCTATCATAATCTGTAGCGCCGTATCACCGTTACCACTATAATCTGATTGTTCGTGCGTTTTCATCCATGATCCGCATTTATTGCAGCCCCCAACTACTTGGTTGATTTACTCATTGCCGCAATATTCTCCCGCTAACAATAATGATGACTCTAACTCCCCGAGGCTTTCAGTTGGTTTCCTGTTGCCTTGCGTCCTTCGCCACCCGTCGACCACAGTTATGCATCGCTTCTTCGCCGTGCTGCCCCAGCCCAGTTCCTTCACCACCTGTGACGGCCACGCAGTCCTGCACTTACGGATTCCATTGTCGCAGCACTTACCGATTCCACGCAGTCCTGCACTTGCGGATTCCATTGTCGCAGCACTTACCGATTCCACGCAGTCCTGCACTTACGGATTCCATTGTCGCAGCACTTACCGATTCCACGCAGTCCTGCACTTGCGGATTCCATTGTCGCAGCACTTACCGATTCCACGCAGTCCTGCACTTACGGATTCCACTGTCGCAGCACTTACCGATTTCATTACCGCAGCATTTCCGGTTCCATTGCGAAAAAGGGTGTGTTTTTGCTGCAGCTACATGAGTGGCTAACGATAGCTAATAAGTTACGCATCAGTTACTAACGTGCGGCGTCGTGAGATAGCTAATAATATGTGTATGACTCGTTACCTCGGAGAAATACAAGTCAGAGATGTTATTTACATTGTGAAACCACCCGTTTCGTGGTGGGTAGCGTTCCAATGCTTTCTTCAGCGCTGCAGCCCCGTCTCTTTCAGGTCTACAGCTACCTTACTGTTTGAATGTTTGTAGGCAACGGACACCATCTTGCCACTGCGATCAGATGCCTGTTCATTTTTAGAGCGCACCTTCAGTCAAAGCTTTTTGTTGTGCTTTGCACGCATTATTTAATAATTACTAAAGCGTAGGGCTCGAAGGTATTCTGTAAAGAGACGGCACAGCTGGATAAGGACCGTTTTACCCGTCCGTTCGCTGCTGGTGAGGCCGCGGCCGCTTTAAGGGGCGCGCGTGGGCTGGGTGCGGCGTGGCAGCGGAGCTTCCGGCCGGGCTGGGACGGTGTGACGTGTCAGCGCGGTGCGGTGAGGCGCGTGTGGGCGGCCGGGTTATGGCTCCGCGCTGTGGAGGCGTGTGTGTGATGTTGCACCGGGCTTGGTCAGCTGGGTGGCGGCGGCCGTTTGCCGGAGCGCGCGCTCGATGGGTCACAACATGGCAGGCAGCCTGGCCCGCCCCCCGCCCCGGCTACCCGCGCTAGGTAGTTCGGGGAGTGGCCGCCGAGCGGCGCTGCGCTGTGGTGGATCTCGGTTGTGAGGTGGCGCCCAGGCTGCGTCGCACGTGTTCAATTGCCGATTGCGGTCTGTTAGAAGCGCTCTGGTAGGCGCGCGACATGCATTGTCATCGCGTGTGTGTTAGTCGCACCCGAATTTCGCTTCCGCGCCGGAGGTTCCGTTCCTGCCTCGGCTCTCCCAGTCAGGGGTCCATCGGCGTCGGCAGTTAGTTGTGTGTCCTTGCAGCATTAGTTGCACAAAGCTGTCGGTGGCTACCGTCGTTCGAGCTCTCGATTCCCGCCGGTTAACGCTGTGACTTGGGGCCCCTGCTGCGCTGAAGGTGGCCGCCGGTGGCCCCAACTCTCGCTCCCGCGAGCGGGAGGGGGGAGGGGCTCTCGGGACCGTTTTGTTCTGTTCAGTCTTTTCCACGGCTGTCTGAGCCACATGTGTTTACACGCTATGTATAAAAGTAAAATGTATTAGAGAAGCACCATGAGTTTCAGTTGAGTTAGCAAATTCAGTAGAGTTCACACAGCGTGGCGGCGCCTGGATTCTTTGGACTCCTTCGTATCCATCGCTAAGGTTATGTTGATACGTGCCCTTAATCGCTGTGAAGAGGTCTGTACAGGAAATCTGGAACATCGATGATTGACGGTTCCTTGCCTTGCGCGTGAGATGATCAGGAAAGATGGAGGACGTCTACACGGAGCATGATTGAGAGAAAAACCAGGTGCGACACTTTCGGCTTGAAAATTTGTCACGCCACTTAGAGCATTGGGTACCATCAAAAGCTGCTTACACAGCATCGACCACACACCACTGCTCTGACAGCGCCATTTCCATCTTATTTGGGATTAACATGCATTAAAACTGTGATGATTAAAAACTGCTAATTCGGATTTTAGTGCGTTCAGCCCCCGCATTCGTCACGTATGCGCTATAAGCGTAATATGTTATGTACCGAGCTGGTGCAAATTCGCGTCTCGTCTCCATCGCCCATTCTGCTATTTTGTTTCCTTTTTTGCTGCGGACATTAAAGCTCATTCTTTGCGGCTATGTTGAAGATTCAGAGAATTGGTATGTTTCGTGGATACCATGTGCTACTGGGATGATGTATGGATAGATTGGAAAAGTCCCAACTCTACCGCGTCAATTCGAAATTCGTATAACTTTAGCTTAATACTAAACCATCTGTGGTATGATCGTCTATCGCTTTTCGTTGTTTACCTGTTTGATCGGCTGAAACGATGCTGGCTTATCTGGTATTTCAAGTCATATCTGGTATGTTTCACATCATGATGATGAATGATGATGTTACAGAGGATGAGGGTAGAAGCCCTGGCTACAGTGATGATTTTCAGCAAATGTGGTTTTATGTTATTTCTCTTCATGTTCACCCATGTTTAGCATTGCTCAGGGCCGGTCTGTAAAATTCAAGCCACTGCACTAAGATGCCTTTTGTGACAGTGGTGCACTACAGTCTACACTGAAACCTTCAAATTGTTTTTGTGTGAAAGAGTTTTGGAGGTAATCTTGCCTGAAATTGTCTTCTCACTGCCATACTTAATTGAGGCCTGGGTTGGGTTCATTATGCCCTGTTATTGGTGATGACTGTGTACAAAACTGAGAGATCTGATGTGCAGCATACATGGTCTGAAATGTCACCAGAATGTCACTGTTATGCTATTTATGTTCAGAGTAACATGCATACTTTGCATTTTGGCATTAGGGCATCTTATCTCCTTTCCCTTATCCACCCTTGGTTTTATCTGTCACCCCTGAGCACATGGAAAGAAACACAGAAACCTTGGATGTCACTCATGCAAAATGTACCTGTTTTATAGCCGATGGGCTGATTTTGCCATGCTCATGTTGGTTGCATTTTTTAACTGCATCCAACAGCTGGCATCAGCTCTGCATGTATTTAACCTTAGCAGCCTGGGAGAGATATACCTGCACAAAGAGTTGGGGGGGGGGGGGGGGGGTAATTATGCCATTGACTAGCCTACAGGACACTGGCTATGTCCTGATTCCTGATTTAGTAGTCTTTCTTACATCATCCTGTCATTTACAGCAGCTCGGCAAAGCCTCCAGACAGTCAGGATGGCCAGCAGCCTGGCTGACTATGCCCAGTACAAGACACTGAATGTCACACAACCTGTGGAGTATGTGGTTCATGTGGAGATGAACCGGCCTGACAAGCTGAATGCTCTCAACACTGAAATGTGGAAGTAAGCAAGCTCAGGGGGTCTGCCTTGTATGCCTAATAGAGTGATATGGTGCTGCTAAACCCCACAAAATAAGAAACATGTAAATAAGTGTGCAGTCCACATGTTTTTATCTGGATCATCACAGCCCATTGCACCAATTCAGTCCTGACCAGCACTGCTATGTCATGACATAATCCTCACCAAACCAGCATGAACTGCCATAATGGAAGCCTGCTCACCCTGGCAGGGACCTGGGCGTGTGCTTCCAGCAGCTGCACGAGGACGCCGAGTGCCGGTCCGTGGTGCTGAGCGGCGCCGGCCGCCTCTTCAGCTCCGGGATTGACCTCAGCGACCTGATGGCCGTTGGCAGCGTGGCTATGGGCGACGGTGACGTGTCTAGGAAGGCTTTCAAGCTGCACCGCACCATCAAAAACTACCAGGACTGGTTCACTGATATTGAAAAGGTATGTGCCACGGCAGTCAGCCGGGCATACGTTTCGGAAATACAATGCTTCGCAGACGGCGCCATTGTGGATAACTCGGTGGCTTGCTCACTTCCTAGAATGTACCTAAGATCTGATGTGTCATTCGATGGTGTCGGGGCTAATCTCCTAATGTGACATTTCCCTATTCTTTCAAAACCTGTGTTTCGTTCTGTGCCATCGTGAATTTCTCTGTCTGACTACTGCCCTTCTGTGTAGTGGGGTTCCCTGCCTGATCATGGCTTATCTCGCCTATCGGACAACTTTCGCGCCCCTCTTCTCCGTCGGACTGTGCGAGGGAACCCTGTCGCTGTAACAACTCACTCTAACTGCGGCTGATCCCCTCTGACCGTGAGTGTGTGCCCGTGACCGCCAGTGCCGTAAGCCGGTGATCGCCGCCGTGCACGGCGCGTGCGTGGGCGGCGGCGTCGACATGGTGACGGCGGCCGACGTCCGCCTCTGCTCCCAGGATGCGTTCTTCCAGGTCAAGGAGGTGGACATCGGTAAGTGTCGGTGCCGGAGCGGGCGCGGCGGCACGGGGAGCGCCGCCTGGCGTGATGCGGCGCACGGACGTGTATGCTGTGTTGAAGACTGGCAACGTTGATAGCTATTGGTACTGGCACGTGAAGAAAACGTGAAATCATATGTGAAGCAGACTTGAAAACAGACTTGTAAACAGACGTGAAGGCACGTGACATCAGGGTGCCTAGTTTTGATGGGGAGCGACGAGAGCATGTTATGGCTCATAATCATCGTAGAATCGATATTTTAGAACGAATATGTGTTTTGTTATTAGGAGTTCAATTATGGGAATCCATTCTAAGCCGAAAGCAGTTCGTATTTGTGCCTACACTCCTGCTATTATGCTAGATCATGGAATGTAAGTTCACAAGGCACAGCTACCTGGAGAAATAGTGTTGTCAAATTGGTCACCGGTTCATTAGACCTTAAAACGAACTGTTTCCTGGCAGAAAATACGACTGCTTGCAGGCCGTATGCTAAGATAGTTGTGCAGCGTGACCTGCCGAACTGACCAAGGCCACCTGTTGCTGTCGCTTTGATAGTGCTGAAATGACATATCTTACGTGGGATCACCAGGTAACTACGTCAACTGGTTTTCACCAAAATCTTGGACCAAGGCGAAAATTTTTCGCGTGATCCATTGAATTGTGGTGTGATCCGCTCACCTCTTTAAAAGCTGTTCTTCAGGCATTAAAAACACCGCTGTCTGTCCACTGTTGACGTCAGAGGCTCGCAAGGAAGGGCGCTGTGCCGCGGACAGCTCACAGCTTCTCGCTGTTTGGGGCGGCTGCTGACATCGACGCGTGTCGCAGGGCTGGCGGCGGACGAGGGCACGCTGCAGCGGCTGCCGAAGGTGATTGGCAGCCGGAGTCTGGTGAACGAGCTGTGCCTGACGGCGCGCCGGCTCGGCTCGCAGAAGGCGCTCCAGTGCGGCCTCGTCAGCCGCGTGCTTAGCGACAGACAGGTGCGCCGGGGCTAGTGGCCCGCTGATGGGGACGGGTGGGTGTACCGGGATCAGAGACACGGGACGGGTGAGTGCACCGGGACCAGAGACAGGGAACGGGTGGGTATACTATTATCAGTGATGTGGACGGATTGGTATACTATACTCAGTGATGGCGACCGGTGGGTATACTATACTCAGTGATGGGGACGGGTGGATATACCATACTCAGCATTGGGGACGGGCGGGTATACTGTACTCGGTGATGGGGACCGGGGTGTATACTATACTCAGTGGCAGGGACGGATGGGTGGGTGATGTAGTGATGATGCGGATGGGAACCTCAGTGATTGGGATGGTTTGGTACTGCGGACGTAGCGACGGACGGATGGGTGATCCAGGCCCCGCTACTGAGCACATGCCCGCATGAGTCCCACCGCTGTGCCCTGTGCTCTGGCGACAACCCACATCTCTAATCCGGAGATCCGTTCTGACGCCATCGCCCGATCGTCTGTCCCGCGTGCAGAAGCCACAACAATTGGATGGTGCGGGGTTAGTAACCAGTGACACGGCCCGGCGTCCCCGGTCCAGTGACGATTCTGTTGGCCTGACCCGTACCCAGTGACAGGTGCTGTAAGCGGCTGTTCCGTACCCGGAGAGCGAGTCCCGTCGGTGCTGCTACCTGGATACAGGGATAGGTGGCGCCTTGCATTGCTCATCTTATCAAAATGAATAAAAACACTTTTATATAAAGTGGCGATGACATTTCCATTATACTGTTAGATGATAATGAACAACAGGGATGACAAAAAGAAAACTAAATAGATAATTTACCTCTGAGGTCATGAACCAGTGACAAAGGCTGCATAATGCTCGCAACACAAAATAAGTGATTTGATGGGCATTATATCACTTCGTAGTCAAAGCGCCGGAAAGTCCCAATTGCTATTACTACTTGTTAAAAAGTGCCTCATTCTCCGCAGACACCGCGATGTATGATACCGAAAAAGAATCACATCTTGCAATCACTTGAAAATGATGTCGGATACAGCCATCGAGTGTGCGCGATGGAATTATTTTTTAGTGAAATTTGTAGAAATGTATCGCAGTGTGGTTCGTAGTATGTAAAATACGGAACCGCCGGGAACGTACCGCTTTTCCCAATCGCATCCATCAGAATTGTGCTGCATTGGCGCATTTAGTACCCTGTGTCCAGGCTGGAACTCACGTATCATTCACTACAAGCCGTAAAAATGAATCCAATAAACAACACGGTCTGTTGTTTGCGTGTCCGTTGTAGCATTGTAGCCGCCGCCATCCGATTGCTGGTGTGTTCATGATCATTTCGCAATATTGTCCTTTCCAATTTTTTGGCTAATTTCCTCGTTGAGTCCTCCTCTCCCCCTCCCCCTCCCCCGCCGCTCTACTGTACATCAACGCGACTGCTCTCCCCAGGGTTCCTAATTAGATTCCTGTTACGTCCTGTCCTTCGTCTCGCGCTGGCCACAGCTGTGCATCGCGTCTTCGCTGCGTTGCTCCACTCCAGTCCCTTCCCCGCTTGTGACAGCCACACAGCCCTGTTGTCATGGTAACCGGCATCGCCTGCTCCTCCGCCTGTCCGCAGTCTACTGGCGGCGGCGATCAGCCTGGCAGCCACCATCGCGCAGAAGTCGCCGGTGGCGGTGCAGTCGACCAAGCAGAACCTGATCTTCTCGCGCGACCACACGGTGCAGGACGGCCTCGACCACATGGTGGCCTGGAACGCGGCCATGCTGCAGTCGGAGGACATCATGAAGGCGGCCACCGCCTCCATGGACCGCAAGGCGCCCCCGGCCGATTTCGCTAAGCTGTAGCGACGCGGCGTCATCGCGTTGGTGGCGTGGAATGTTGGCCTAACGGCATGGCGTACAACTCAAATCCCCTCACACGTAATTTTGCTGCGCTTAGCGTAGTTGTTTTCCATGAGGCCGGCCTGTCCCACGTGGCTCCGTGTGAGATAGCAGGGTGTGAGTGCGGTCGGCTGAATGGACGCGACCGTCCCGCTCGGGTCTCTGCTGAGGCGAGAGCCGCCGTCGGTCGCCGGGGGGTGACTGACGCGGCCTCGGCGGCTCGCTCGCTCGCGCATGCCCGCGCGCCGGTCGTGGTCGAGCTCCGAGGAGGCGGACCGAACCTCGGCGTGGGTTGGGGCCGGACCGCAGCGTTTGGGGACGCTTGGGGACGCTTGGGAGTGTGGTTGGAAAACGATAGGTAACGCCAGGTACTGAGTGGTTATCTATCTGTGTTACCGGAATGTGATGCTCGTTGCCGCTGTTGTGTGTGCGGGTGACGGAGGGAGATGATAGCCATATCTGATGCCGTGCACTACCGTTGCCGTAACACAATGTTTTCACGGGAATCTTCCTGATACGGGAATTCAGGTCTGTGATTGTGGTCCGATTCCGCCACTATTGGGATTCAGATTAGCACTCAGTCGTGCAACCACCGATTCCATTGCGGAAAACGCATATGTATTGGGCCGTTGCCACATGTTTGCGTGATCATAACAAACTTGGCGTCCGCTGCGGACGTACAGCGTCTAAGATAGCCAGCAGTAATGCTTGTATGGTTCGCTGACTCGGGAAATACAGATCAGAGACTCAGGAAATACAGTCCTTACTTGTGTTGCGGGCTTCACGGCTCCGTCCTGGGTTACCATTTAATGCTCTCGGCATGTCGGCAGCTTCGTCTTTTTCAGACATACAGCTAGCTCTCTGTTCAGATGTTTGTGGATGATAGTTATCACCACTGCCATCATCAGAGGCCTGTGGATTTTTGGAATGCGTTGTCAGTCCAAAGGCCTACGTTGTGCTTGGTACGTGTTTTAAAGCGTGATGCCGTTCTTTAACGTCACGTGGACAGGCTGTCGGACGATGCAGCTGGATAGTGACCCGTCAGTTTGCTGTCGCTCCTCCTATATTGCCGTGGGCTGAATTGCCTGACAAACTCTAGCTGAGATACCTGTGAAAGTGCACGCTGCTATCTGGATTAGTATGTTGCGGCGCAGCATACCAGGCGGGGGGGGGGGGGGGGGCAGCGTGCTGTCGCCGACGGCTTTTTGGGAGGCGGCGCCTCGCCGTCACGTAACGCGCTGGCGGTGGCCGGACCAGGCCTTTCCTAGGGGTGGCCGGAGTCGGTAGCCGTCGCGCCGCCGGCGTGGCCGAGGTGGCCGCCACCGCCTCGGGCCACGCGCCGACGGTATTGCCGCGACGGCTGGAGCTGGTGATCAGACCGGACCGGACCGTCTCATGCCGCTTTAGAATGATGCTGGTCCCAGCGAGTGCATGCGCCTTCAACTGGTCGAAGGGCTTTGCAAAGGTCAGGCTCTGCGCTGTGCGCGATGCCGGCGGCGCCGAGCGGGTCGCCGAAGTGCCGGCCTATCGGGACGACTGGTCGGCGTCTTGGCCCAGTAGGGGTGCGAGCCGACGCTGGGGCACGGCACGCTCGGGATGCGCCGCGAGTCCTCGCGCTCACCTGCCGGACGGAGGTGGCGGGCGCCGGGTCACGGCTTGCGGCGGGTTGAGGCTGGGCCGACGGCGGTCACCGCGTCCGGGGGACAAAGGCACGGACGGCATATAACGGAGCTATCATTGCACACCAGCAGGGCGTAGGTGTATGTCGTCCATACGGTAAGAAATGCGGATGCACATGGATATGCGCCACTTTGGCAATTTGTGACAGGAAACGTGCTGTTCCTAGTGATCCGTTCGCTTCAGTCACTGATTCGAGCAGTGGTATGCGGATTACGAGATTACGGCGGCGTTAGTTGATAAATCGCACCAGCGCTGTTATGCACGTCTTATTTAATGTCTTAGCTGAACGAAAGCGCCATAACATGCAAGACTAAGACCAAGGTGATTGGCAGCCGGAGTCTGGTGAACGAGCTGTGCCTGACGGCGCGCCGGCTCGGCTCGCAGAAGGCGCTCCAGTGCGGCCTCGTCAGCCGCGTGCTTAGCGACAGACAGGTGCGCCGGGGCTAGTGGCCCGCTGATGGGGACGGGTGGGTGTACCGGGATCAGAGACACGGGACGGGTGAGTGCACCGGGACCAGAGACAGGGAACGGGTGGGTATACTATTATCAGTGATGTGGACGGATTGGTATACTATACTCAGTGATGGCGACCGGTGGGTATACTATACTCAGTGATGGGGACGGGTGGATATACCATACTCAGCATTGGGGACGGGCGGGTATACTGTACTCGGTGATGGGGACCGGGGTGTATACTATACTCAGTGGCAGGGACGGATGGGTGGGTGATGTAGTGATGATGCGGATGGGAACCTCAGTGATTGGGATGGTTTGGTACTGCGGACGTAGCGACGGACGGATGGGTGATCCAGGCCCCGCTACTGAGCACATGCCCGCATGAGTCCCACCGCTGTGCCCTGTGCTCTGGCGACAACCCACATCTCTAATCCGGAGATCCGTTCTGACGCCATCGCCCGATCGTCTGTCCCGCGTGCAGAAGCCACAACAATTGGATGGTGCGGGGTTAGTAACCAGTGACACGGCCCGGCGTCCCCGGTCCAGTGACGATTCTGTTGGCCTCCCCGCACCCAGTGACGGGTGCTGCAGGTGGCTGGCCCGTACCCGAAGACCGAATCCCGTCAGTGCTGCCACCTTGTTGCAGAAACAGGTGACGCCTCGCAGCATGTTTATTTGACGAGGCCCGGTATACTGTCGGTTATCATAGGGCGCACCGCCTGCCAGCTGGGCCTGTTCCAATGCTAACCAGCGCGAAGGCTGCCGGTTGCGGTCGTCCTTGGCAGCCCGTGGCCATGAGGGTGTCAACGATCCGTTTTGCATGCCGGATGGTGCACCGGAGTGGGCGAACTGGCTTTCATGCGAGCGAGCTGGTGGCGGCCATAGGGTTTGATAAGATTTAGTGGTCTGGTCTATCCGTAACATCTGGAGGCGAGAGCTATACTGCATAAACAAAACAGAAGGTGACAATCTCAGCTATTCGTGAGCGTTTGTGGTGCCAGAAATTCAGAGCAGGTGTTAAGCATGAAGCTTCTTTAATGCCTGACCGCAGCGAAATAGAGGAAATATGCAGTCACAACTAAGAGGGTGCCAAAGGCACGTATATTGGCTTTCGACGACCGCGTGATTTCGAGGATTGGGAATAAACGATACACGCTTACCGGAGTTACCCGAGTTTCTGCGGCCTCTATTTGTTATGGGTGGTGTTTCTAAGGCTAAGGGAGTTCCTAATTCTTCTTTATGTAAAAATAGATGATTTTACATGTTAAAATCTTGCTGCATTTTGAAATTTAATTGTAACGCTGTTCAGTGTTAAAAACAATAGTCGCTCCGCACTATATGGAGAGGTACTGATGGACAGGCAGAATGTTTAAAGATATAGGATGGTCCCATATCAACGATCCATATAAAAAAGATAGTGGGCATTTTGAGATCAAAGTCAAGTGATTGGAGGCTGCTTTATGTTCCAAACACAAATCGAAGCACTGACGGCTAGAAACTTCATTTTTTCTTTGCAGGCTTTTGTGGTGTATGGCAGTTGTTTAGGGAGCCTACGCGCCAGGCAAGTGGCAGTTGCGCGAGAGAGTTGGCCTTGATGAGGTGGCGCGTGGCGGGGGCGCGACGTGTTCGGACGCCTCGGACGTTATATTATTGTTTTGTTGTTATTACCGAAGTATTGGGAAAATACTCACGGTAACACCTGACTTAGTGTTTGGCCGGGCTGTGAGAGTGGACGATACTACAGCTTTACAATGCATGCCGCGAAAAAAGAGCCACGTTCTGTAACCACCTCCGAAAATGATGTCGGGTCCGACAATTGAATGTGTGCAATACAGTGATTTTTATGTCATGTCTTAACCGGCGGCGAGTATTCAAACCACATCTGACTGCATCTAAGTGTCTTAAATAGCATTGCAAATATGAAACCAATAACAACATGAATTCGTTCTGAATTTCATCCATAAGTGTTGTGTCGGAATGGCGCATTGAGCACCAGGCGTCAAGACAGGAGGCGATACCTTCCACTACTTACCGGAATAGATGTAGCGCCGTAACACCGTTTTCACTATAATACGATTGTTCGTGCGTTTTCATCCATGATCCGCATTTATTGCAGCCCCCAACTACTTGGTTGATTTACTCATTGCCGCAATATTCTCCCGCTAACAATAATGATGACTCTAACTCCCCGAGGCTTTCAGATGGTTTCCTGTTGCCTTGTGACCTTTGCCACGCGTCCACCACAGCTATGCATCGCTTCTTCGCCGTGCTGCCCCAGCCCAGTCCCTTCACCACCTGTGACGGTCACGCAGTCCTGCGGCCACGGATTCCATGGCCGCAGCACTTACAAATTTCATCGCCGCAGCACTTACAGATTCCATCGCTGCAGCATTTCCGATTTCATTGCCGAAAAAGGGCGAGTTTTTATTGCAGCTATATGAGTGGCTAGCAATAATAACTAAGCTAAGCATCAGTTACTAGCGTGCGGCGTGGTAACATAGCCAATAATCTGTGTATGACTCGTGACTTCGGGGAAACACAGATCAGAGATGCTGTTTACATTGTGAAGCCCGCCGGTTCGTGCCGGGCAGCGTTCCAATGTTTTCTTCAGCCCTGCAACTCCGTCTCTTTCAGGCCTACAGCTACCTAACTGTTTGAATGCTTATAGGCAGCGGACACCATCTTGCCACTGCGATCAGATGCCTGTTCATTTTTGAAGTGCACCGTCAGTCAAAGCTCTATGTTGTGCTTCGTACGTATTATCTGATAACTACTAAAGCGTAGAAATTGAAGGTATTTTGTAAAGACACGACACAGCTGGATTAGGACCTTGAGTTTTCTGTCGTTGTTCCTTTGTTGCTGCTGGTTCGCATCAAACAACAGCTGAGAAAGCCATGGCGTGCTCGCATCGGCCTGCATATTTGTTGCGGCGCAGCATACCATGCCGGCGACAGCGTGCTGTCGCTGCCGGCTATTTGCGAGCCGGCGCCGCGCCGTGACGTAACACGCTGGCAGCGAGTGGGCCGGGTTTTCCCTGGGGGTGGCTGGGTCTGCGGCTGGCATGCCGCCGACAGGACCTCGGGTCACGCAACGACGGCATCGCCCGCGGCGGCTCGGGCTGGTGGTCAGACCGGACCGGACTGCCTCACCACGCGGATGAGGGATAGCTTTGGAGTAATGCTGATACTCACGGCAAGTGAGTAAACTGGCTGAAGGGCTTTGTGAGGACACTTATTTCAAATGCTCGTATTGGGTGCTCTCCAAGTCAGCTTGCGCTGCTGTTTGCCGAAATTTAAACATTGAGTGTCATTCACTGTCCCTCGGGTTAGGAACAGATAGGGAAGGCGGGGCTTGACTCCCTTCCCCACGCCCTATTTTCCAACGGGAGTATTGACCCCATGGCGATACCTGGAAAGGATCTTTCAAAGCTGTAATTCACCTCTGCGCAAACTTCCTGAGACGCTTCTGCGCATATGCCCTGTTCATGATGGTCACGGATAAGCTTGTCTGCATGAACGACATCCCGTTTGTAGGCCACAGCGGCTGTTGTCATAGGTACCATGTCCTTAACTTTCGCCGTCATCACACGCGGCATTTGCTGCGTGCCCTTTCATCAAACGAAACGGTCTCGTCACTGGGTGTATTCAGCCAAAGCCGACAAAACTGACGCGGCCGACGCCTGAGTGGCGCCTCCCTCGCCGTTGGCCCCCGCCGTTGTGTCCGCCCCGCCGCCCGCCCACCGCGCCCGCTGCGCCACCTTTAGGGGTACAGGCCGAGCGCGCGCCGCTGGTCGTCGATCTCCTGCTGACGGCGTCGGCGGTTGGCGCGCGCCATGATGTCGCGCAGGTCGTCAAACTCGGCGCTGTGTGCGATGCCGGCGGCGCCGAGCGGGTCGCCGAAGCGCGGGTCCATCAGGTCGCGCCGGGTCGGCGTCTCGGCCCAGTACGGGTGCGAGCCGACGCTGGGGCACGGCACGCTCGGGATGCGCCGCGAGTCCTCGCGCTCGCCTGCCGGACAGGGGCGGGGGCGCCGGGTCACAGCTAGCGGATGGCGGCGGGAGTCCTGGCCGTCAGCCGGGGCCCGCGGCGGGATCCCTGGCCGTCAGCCGGAGCCCGTGGCGGGAGCCCTGGCCGTCAGCCGGAGCCCGCGGAGAAAGCCCGGGCCGTCCGCCGGAGCCCGCGGCGGGATCCCTGGCCGTCAGCCGGAGCCCGCGGCGGGATCCCTGGCCGTCCGCCGGAGCCCGCGGCGGGATCCCTGGCCGTCCGCCGGAGCCCGCGGCGGGAGCCCTGGCCGTCAGCCGGAGCCCGCGGCGGGATCCCCGGCCGTCCGCCGGAGCCCGGCTGGCGGCCAGGTCGTCGACTTCACGTGGCAGGCTGCATGGACGCAGTGACAGGGACAGGCGGTGCATATCGGCGCTATCATCACACACCAGCGCGGCGTGGGTGTGTGCTGCACACAACGCAGGATATGTAAATGGTCACGAATGCACAGCACGTGGACGATATGTGACAGCAGGCGTGACACTCTTAAATGTTCAGCTGGCTTCAATCACTGACTCCAGAAAAGTGTCATGACGGTTACGAGATTAAAGTGCCGTTAGTAGCGCTGTTATGTATCGAGCTCAGTTGCGCTTCATTTCAGCAGGCAGTTAAGAGTGTTTTTACGCGCCCAGTGTCGGTTAGATTAGTCCTACCTGCGCAGAGTGATGTCATATATTAGTTAGTGGTCCTCCGTTGGCTGGGCTCCAGAGGTTGGCCGGCGCCTTCGGAAGTCGTGCCATTCCACCTTCCGCTTGGCAAATAGTCTTCCAAGGAGTTTTTCAAGATCGTTATCTTCGGGTGCGTGGAATTTGCATCGTTAATGCCATAAGTATAGTCGTGCTATGCATTATGCCCATCTTTCATGCCAAAATTGCTGAGTTGGGAGATAAGCAACTGATAAATTTACATCCGACACGTTTTTAAATACGAGGCACTTTGTCTCATAAGACTTAATTGATTTCAGGACGTGCATAACCCTTGACATTCGAGGCCATCGATTACGAATCTGTTATAATGATTCGGGTTTCACGCCTCGCAGAGTTCCAGGGTCGTTTCGAGACGGGATGCCTTTATTGGGTACCATGTGGCATGCGGTGGTGGTGTGGCCGGGACCCGAAGCGGGTGCCGACGGGTCCAGAGACGAGCATCTTAACCAAGACACCACCACCGCTCCCTACTCGTCTGCTACGGCCTCCGGCAAAGCCGTCATTCAGATTCGAAACCCACTGGCATATATTGGGGAATACCCTTGTATTCGCTCCCAACATCCGTGTATTCGTCTTCCGTAGCAGGGTTCCTCCGCGGCGCAGCTCGTCACCAGCGATCCTGAAGTCCCAACATCGTCAAGGCGTTACCGTCTCCAGACATCGCCCAGCACTGCCCCGGCTCTTTTGATCGGATGCCAGTGCATCCGCCGCCACAAGACGGCACACGAAACTAGCTCAGCCGCGCCAGCGCACCACCACCGTCGACCCGTCCCTTCTCGCGGCGCGTCACGCGGGGTGACGTCACGTCAGCGGAGTGACGTCACGCCGGCTGTAACGGGCGGGCGGGGTCGCCGCCGCCCCCAGGCGGGCCGCCGCTGACCGGCCCGCCAGACGGCGCCCCCGCCGCCGTCCGCGCCGCCGCCGCCGCTCTAGAAGCGCGCCGCGCGCTTGTCGGCGTCGGCCCGGAGGTCGCGGTGGCGCCTGCGCGCGCGGTCGATGATGCCACGCACGTCATCGTAGGCCGGCGCCATGGGCAGGTTCACGTCGTCCAGCGGGTCGGGCGCAGTGAAGAACGGGTCGCTGAGGGGGTCCTTGGCGGCGGCGGCCGGCCCAGCGGCGCGCGGCGGCGTGCGGACCGGCAGCGGCGCCGCTGGTATCACCGGCTCGCTGCGTGTCGGGGTAGTATCGCCGTGATCACCTGAGGTCAGAGGCGACCGTCAAGGCCGGATCAGCCGCCGTCGGGGATCGGTAGGGGGGGGGGGGCAAACACCTGTGCAAACCTGCGAGAGGTAGGACACCTTTCCGATATGCTTTTTAAGATTGGTAGGAAAATAGCTGATTGCTTGACCTCGATGAATTTAACCAAAGCTTAACCAGATCAAGCAAAGATAGATATGTAGCTGACGGTCGAGACTTTCAGCATAGCGCTCCAGCACTGCGAGCTGCTTGCAAAAGCTTTGTACAGCCGTGAGGGATGGCGTGTTAAAAAAACGGGCTATGCTGAGCTCTAGTCATTGGTTCGTTTCCATTGTGTCCACCGCCAGACGGGAGATTGGTCAACACGCGTCTGGTGGCCGGCTAGATACCCTTTGCTCGGATGGGGGGCCAATTTGATCCCGCTGAGATCTTGGGAACTAAGAAAGCTAGAGATACCAAGTTTACAGTGTCTTGACCTGTACGTGAACTTATTTAGGTCAAAGTAAGAGGTTCGTAGGTCATGACCTTTGGGTCAATTAAGGTCAAACAAAGTCAAATTCCAGGTTGGTCTCCAAAGTGCCCCCAGAACCTAGATAACTGTTTCTAAGCAAAAGGTTGCTCGTTCATTTCAGGTCAGTGACCTCGTTTAACCTATTAAAGATCATAATGACCAAAATCATACAACACTGCTCTGATTCATGCACCTGAATAAACGACAAAGATTATGCTAGGCAGTATGTTTCTAAAAACAAAATGTTCACCAAGATAATTTTAGGTCAATGACTTATTCTGATCTCTAAGAAGTCCATTGAAGATGCATAATGCGGCTTCTGCTTTCAATAAATTTGAAATGAGCACCAGAAACTATCCTAAACAGCAGGCCTTAGAGTAATAAAACAGGTTGGTTTTGATCTTGGCCTGACGCTCATACCTGATCTTAGGTCAACTTAATTTGCTCCCTCAATATTTGTGTAGCCTAAGAAAGTATCTCAGAGGCGTATGGCTTCGTCTAACACCCCGTGGTTGCATCAGAGTAAACGATTACCCAGAAATTGACCTCGCTGAAACCATGGCCTGACTTTGACTTGTCATAGGTCAGCAACCTTACAAGGTACATCTAAATTGTTGATACCAAACGATCCGCTATTCAATTGTCTATAGCTATGCAGCATTTGGCGCAGCTTCGGAAAACATTTTGGAAAAACCTCGGCGGTCAATTTGACACCCACCCGAGCGCGTGTTAACTGGTAAAATGACACCCACCCGAGCGCGTGTTAACTGGTAAAATGAGAGCTTGGCGTTTTGTTGAAACATGGGTACCAATCTGGTGGCCTTAGTTCTGCACTTCAAGTCGGTGTTTTTGCTGTTAAAGAAGCAAATGTTGGTGAAGCCTGTGGACTAACCGTGAAAAGCTGTATGAACCATTCGAATGTACGAATATTGCTCAAAAATCCCTTGATAAGCAACGTTTTATCTTTATAAACATGAACGGATGAGCGCAAAATCAAGAGTGAATGTCCCATGCATTTCTGAACGTTTTTGTCTCATCAGCCATAAGAGACTCTTTCTGCAGTTGTGAGATGGCAGCCACTTAGCCGTGGTGGTCCCACATGTTCACTTTTTTACGCCGCATCTGATGAAAAATAGCACATCACGAACAACTAAACGCATGTCCCCATATTGGCCATTTACTGGCGAGATGCTGTTTGGAAAGGATGCATGTCGTTTAATATCTACTGGGTGGAAATAAACCTCAGCCGTCATCATTCCCATCAAGGCGTCGAAAATAAAACTGGAATATCTGTGGTAAAACTGGACAAAGATCATTTTTGTTTGATGTCTGTCGTGCCTATGGTTTGCAGACGGAAGTGCGCAGACTTCTCTACATGGCACGGTGTTCCATCCAAGCACAGCCGCCGGCTGGGGAGAAGGAAGCAGCGGGGCAGCTTGCCTCTTAACTAAAAATGCAGCTCACCGTGCGTGGTGTGGATCTCTTTCTAACGCACTACAGCACAGCTGAGTTTTTGGCATCCATACGTTTTTACATCTTCACATACGTCGTGGAACATGCGGCACAACTTCTCCGCTAGAAGGATTCGAGCATCTCACCGAGGCCCTGACCCGAGCATCTTGACCTCAGGGTTGTTACTCACTCGCCGTCACGCACGGCAAGGCCTCTTTACCACAGCCTCTTTCGTTCTGGGTAGCTTGACCTCCACGTCGATGCTTCCAATGCGTGCTGGAGCGGGGACGCTGCTAACAAGGTAGCTTCACTACTCTGCTCTCGCGCTCCAGGGTCTAGCCGCTACTGGGTGTCTATTGCGTCGCTCCCTACACCACTCCGGAAGAAGCATGCGCGGCGCGGCGCCGGCCCCACAGGCCGCTTACTGAGCTCCCGTCCAACCTACGGAGGTCAGGTCAGTTGCCGGCCGTATACTGCGGCACGGCCGGCGCCATCCTCAGCTGATAGACGGGTCGCGTCTCCTTGACCGCCACCAGCGCCTGCTTGACCTCGACGCTACGCTTGCTGGTGGCCACCTCCGAGCTGTACTGACGGTCGACGCGGATCGAGTCGCTGACCAGAGGTGGAGTGGTGCCGCGCTGCGCCCGGGACTCGACTGCCGGCGCCGACACGGGTCATGTGCGCCGGGTAACCTCGGCCGAGTTCCATTGACCTGATCTGGGCTGACCTGGACAGACCGCGGGTGTCGGCGCCGACACGGGGTCAGAAGGGCTCCCACAGGCGACAAATTACTGGTGTGCTGAGGGGTAGTTTGATGAGATCTGGACACAAAACTGAGTTGGTTGTATAGGACTCATATATTTATAAATTCAGCTTATGGATACAACCGTGATGCGTCTGTCCGGACAAGCAATGCGCTTACGTGGTCGTTTGTCCGAAGGAATGCAAACTCCCTACAACGGCGGTGTTCTAACCGCTCCTAAATTTCGGATACGATAGGTTGTGCGAATTTTGTTAAATGTTGTTTGCAATAATCCGCCGGGCCCTGATTCATCTGGTTCCCGAAAATGCTTGCGACATTTGTCTTGTATCAAAACCACAACGGTCTGCTTCGACCGACGCTTCCCTTGAACTGAGCCTCTGACTGCTGGTGTTCGGCATGGTGCACTGCGGGGATGGCAAATGACCTACCGACCTTCAGAAACAAAGACGAGGTTTCAAATCGCCCTGACCGACGCGTGAGACACAGCGTCGAGTGCTCACCGCTAAAGCACGTCGGTCCCGGCTGGCTGACTGTCACCTGGTCACAGGACAGGCTCCCCACCTGTGGTGCAAGTACTGGCACGTGTCTACATGACCGAAGCCGAGGCCGAGGGCGAAGGCTCGCATGGACGCTGCGCTGGACCAGTCTCCACCCCTCACGTAAACGCGCTCGACCAACGCCCGAGCCCTGCGCGGCGGTCCGCGGTCTTGGCTGTCGACCGGTATCGGAGCCCCTACCTGTACCGATGCGGAATGGACCGCGTGAGCGGTAGCGGTACGACGTCGGGGCCCCGTCGGCGCCGGCTCCGCGCCTCTGCCAGCATTCCGCGCCGTTTTAGGTCGGCGACGTTGCCAGCCGCCGAGCGGAGCCAAAAATACGGCCGCCGCCGCAGCTCCAGGCGGCCGGCCGCGGCCGGTGCCGGCTGGCAAGGCCCCGACCTCCCCGGCCGACACGCAAAAACCGCTCGGGGTCGCCACGTCGCGCCGTCCACCGTCACTCCGGGATAGCACCCGGTCCCGCTGCCGGTGGACGCAGATGGCGCCACCTGCGGCCCTCCTCAGCGGCGGGTGTGGCCATCGCACGTGCCGGTGATGATCTGCCGCTGCTGTGACCGTGGTCGTTGCAGAGGGGGAGGGCGACAGTTCCGGCCGTTCAGGGCCGGGACGGTGGTCCGGCCTGGCAGCGTGCCCGTCCCAACACCTGGGTGACGGGCGGTGACGTGCGGTGACGGTGGCGACTCCCGGCCCGTCGCCAAGACCCGGGCCATGTTCTGTCCCCCGCCCTCCCCCGTCCCCCTTCGACTGGGCCGATGATGGCTGCTGCCGCTGGCGCTGCCGCTTGCGCCGCCGGCAGCGCCAGCCGCAGCAGTCAGCTGGCGCAGGGTTATCAGCTGAGTGGTCGCGCGTTTGCAGCAGCGTTAGCGAGCGGGATGCTGTAAAAGGCAGGCGAGCAGCACACATTCCCGGCGCAAGAGGCAGCGGAAGACGGCGTTACCATGGTTATGACCCTGTCGGGCGTCCCACAGCTGGGGAGCGCTGCTCTGGACGCAGGCGTACCTTTCAGGCCCTTCATGTAGTTGAGCCAGAAGCCGGCATTGCGTTCCAGCGGGCGGCCGATGGTGTAGAGGTCGAGGTCCCGCTTCCAGTGCACCATCGTCGGACACCTGGCCGCGTACGAGGTCACGTCAGCGGCCGCCTCGGTGGATCGGTGATGGGGACCAGTGGCGATGAATCCGGGTGTGGGGGGGGGGGGGGGGCAGATGGGCAGTGGTTGAAAACTGCTGGTGAAAGGTTTGAGGAATGTGTTTTCGGCTCTGCAAAATTTCAAAGGGTTCCGCAGTGGCCTTATAAAGTTCGAAACGAGCCCCTTTCAGGTGTACTCGAAGCGGGGCTCTAGTAGCGAGTTCTGGGATACAATGCAATATCTTCAAACTGTCGATCAAATGGCCCTGAATTATCAAGAAGATTTACGCAAAGTAAAGGTGCACTGAAATTGAAAATTGAAACCGAAAAAGCATCAACATCTCTTCGAAGAATTTCACGCCTGATGATGCATCTGGGACCTGCTGAATGAAACAAACTTCCAAATACTTTGAAGAGATCTCTCGACCGCGTAGTTGGTCAAGGGGTCTCAAGATGGCCAAAGGATCTTTGCGAATCGAAGGAATTTCGGCTGGCAATGCTCCCGACATGAAGAAAGACCCCGATATGCCCCTTAATGCGAAATGGGTCCCTTGATAGACAAAGGGACCATAGCCAAGGGGTCACCACACGGATAAGGGGTTCGTAGGTGGTCAAGGGCTGCCGATTCTAAAAAGTCTCGAGACTGTCGCAGGTCCTGACATAGTCCACAACCCCAAGGTAATGAAGAACCAAGGCACCAAGATGTGCATAGCCTATAAAGGAACTAGCTGACAATTAGACACCTGGGCACGGTGTTGGAACTCCAGGCGGTTTACGCGCTACAGGAAGTTGAAGTTTCTGAACTGTCAAGGGCACGAAGGTGATCGACGGATACTCGTTTCTGACTTCAGCTCTGACCTCGATTTTCGACCTTTTCGTCGTGCATACGCCCCAGGCGGACGGGATGTTTGACCACAAATCACGACGGAAAAGGAGATCGCTGCGCAACTTGCAGGATTACAAAACAGGAATAAGGTGGTCATGTTGTGTTACGTGGATATTCCGATGAAAAATTGCAAACACATGATGTCAATATGAAATTGCACACACACATATATATATATATATATATATATATATATATATATATATATATATATATGTGTGTGTGTGTGTGTGTGTGTGTGTGTGTGTGTGTGTGTGTGTGTGTGTGTGTGTGTGTGTGTGTGTGTGTGTGTGTGTGTGTTTGTGTGTGTGTTTGTGTGTTTGAAGGAGCGAGCGAGGCTGCGTGTTTAGGATGCCTCTTCCCAAAACCAATCGGGACCTGCAGCATAGCTAATCCGTTGTTGGATCTAATAGCCTTGGCAAGCAAAAATACCGCTCCGCTTTATTATTGACGATCGCGGACACTTTTCCAAGCTGTAGTTTCATTTGCTCACGGCGGTGAACAGAATTTCAACGTTATGTGCTTTATACTGAAAATTTGTCTTCAGGCCAAAGTAAGGAAAGGGCTACAAACAAACGTTCACGATTTCTGCCCACGCTGCGTACACTTCTGAGCGCCGTAATGTATTAGGTTACAAAAAACGGCGTGCATCATATGCATACCTGTGCAACGATCGACATGTTCACGCGTTGTAGTAGCATCTACAGGTACTGTGCTTGCGCCTGTGCGTAAATGGCGTACATTCCCCTGCGAACCTTCCATCGAATGGTAACAACAACCTTTCAGCACTGTGAGCAAGCGTATGGAGGATGTTTTTTATTTCTATTTTTAATTCTCTGCCATAGGCCCAGTCTTAAATTGATAATCGTCGCGGAGTGAAGTTCCTGCGCCCCCCATGTGATCTAGGAGTGCTTCAAAGCTATGGCCAGGCAATGTCACAGAGGCGATCGTCAAAACGCCGCGCGTCTACACGGCTATTGACGTGGGCGACGCTTCCCGGGTCATGTAGTAGGAATCCGTGCATGAAAATGACCGGTGAATGGGTCGTGAAAAACGTAATGCGAAGTTTGAAAGACCAACTTTCTTTCCATCCTATCCAGAATTCGGCCACAAGCGTCAAGACTACTTGTGTGAGCTTTGCATCACCCAGCTACACTGTAACGCTTTTAATAGAAAATTGCGCTTTGGCAAGTGGAGACTTGATTAGAACTTCAATTTATGGCATAAATGTTTAGCTAAGAATGAGGTGCTAACACCTTGATGTCGATCGCAGTATACGTTAGTTGTTTAAGAGAAGACGTCCAATAAACGTTTGCCGGTTTTATCAGCTAAATCTGGCAACGCCTTGCCAACTGCGCATTTTGAACAACAGCCTTAATGGCCCCTTTTCTCGTTACAGATGTTCTGATCACATAATGTGCCTGTTTCATACTTCACTCAGTTTAAATGTTGGTTTAAATGTCTTCCCTGCTGGCCGAATCTTTAGATCACTGCAATTCTTTAATTCCCTATTTACATCAATCATTGATGTCCTGGCAAGGTATTGATGCCGTGGATTTCTCGAGGGTGGATCCAGGCTACATTTGCGGCAGGTTTGTCAAACAGACGACGGACGAAGCACACAACCACGGATCACTTCCTACCGTCTAACACCTGCGTTTCATCGACCAATACTGCACCCACATGTTCTTCTATAATGAGCTATTAGGCTTTGAAAATCATCAGAGGTTCACAGGGATCGTTCGGGCTCGCTGCTACTGAGCGCATCAGTGCTTTTGCAAGTATGTTTACATTTGCGACGTCACGGGTAGGTCCCAGTGACGTCCCTGCAGCGCTCTTCATTGCTGTAGCGCTAAATCGCCGGGGCCTTCCCACTGGGCTCCAGGTTGAACAAACTGATCCGATGCAGGATCGGCAGTCCCAATCGGCATGTGTGGAAATGTCGATTATAATGCACTGTCCCAGTTTTAATGAAACATGCCTTTACATGGTTATCAATTTTGGCATGATTTCACTGGGCTCTTGCACAGCTTGTTCCCCACAGACAGGGACGAACGCAAATAGTTGCCCCCAGGGTTAAGTGCCCTTGCTCCCTTCCCCACCCTCACGAGATAGGTACAATACGACTCATAATATGTACGTGACTAACTGCTGGCTTTTAAAAAAGTCTAGGCAGAAACGTAGAAATAAGAAGATTGATAATATGCATTGTTGTCCAACGACTCGCGCACTTAGCTGGAATTTCAGAGAAAACTGTTGAGCTCTGACTCCACCCTCACCCCTCCTTCCACCCGATACCCCAAATAAGTGAAATGCACCTCTCTACTCAATGCCAAAACATGCCCCGTTCTCGCACGCGCTGTGGTCGGCACCGACATCTGACGGGTCAGACCCTATGTTGTGGGTCGTCACAGAGGATGAGTCCGCCACAAGTGCTTGTTTCACAGCAGTCCATGCAGCCGTTCGTGCTGTGCGTCTGGTTCAAGAAATACGCACAGACAGGGGCGTGCTCGGAAATGAGTGGAACCGGTCCCGTTCGGCGGCGGTGGGGTCACCGGCCATCAGCGCACTTTCGTTTCGTATGCCAAATGCATGCGCTGCTGTTTGTATCTATGAGGCTTCGTGCACGGCCTCTGAATAAACTCAAAGCACATTGGTGTACAGTCGAACCTCATTATGTTTTCCGTGTGCGGCTATGAAATGCGCTCCGGAAGAGGAGAGTGGGTAGCACTGCTGCGGCGTAATTTCACCCCTCTTGTTTCGGCTGGACTAAGAAATATTCCATCTGGCTGTATTCCTATGTCTGGTCAGGACCATGGTGCGAGGGGGTTGCAGCACTGATCAGACTCCTCATGGCAGCAGTCGCACGTGCCCCCGCGCAGAGCCCTACATGTGAAGCCCAGCTCTCTGCAGCCCGCATCCGTTCAAATGACAACAGCACCATCACCAGCCCCGCTCAAACGAAAAGCACCAGCTCACAAGCACCAGACACCACTGCTGCGCAGACCGTATCACACGCCCTCCCTGCGGGAGCCGGCCACTGACCTGGGTCGGTCTCACGCCCGAGCAGAGTTAAGCGATGACCTGCGAGAGCCCCTGGCGCGCCACTGGGTGTGGCCGCCCGGTCGCCGCCGGACCCCACCGGACCCCGGCACGGGACCGAAATACCGGGCGGCGCGCGCCGCGCCGGCCTCTCCGCCGGCCGATGCGCCGCTGGGAGCTGCTCCGGGACGCGCCGCTGGGGGCTGCTCCGGGACGCGCCGCTGGGAGCTGTTCCGGGACGCGCCGCTGGGAGCTGTTCCGGGACGCGCCGCTGGGAGCTGCTCCGGGACGTGCCGCTGGGAGCTGCTCCGGGACGTGCCGCTGGGAGCTGCTCCGGGACGCGCCGCTGGGAGCTGCTCCGGGACGTGCCGCTGGGAGCTGCTCCGGGACGCGTCGACGTCCCGCCAGTCGTCCTGCTCGCCTCAGCTCTGGACAGTCAAGCCACGGAGCAGCCCACCGATTTATGATTGGGATTTTGTCGTTCGCAGGGTCGGTGCCGCTCAGCGATCTTGATTTAGGGACACGACTTTGGCTGAAGTTTTTTTTTCATAAACTGAATTTTCAAGAGCCGGTTCATTTCAGCCCGCCAACTTTAAAGCTAGCCTTTTCTCTATGCTGTCTCTCACAAAATCCAAATAAGAAGCTGTCCATTTCGACAAATATAAAAATTAGCAAGCATAGTCTGTGCAATTCACCATCTACCCGTTTGCTTCATCGCAGCATGAAAAATGTAGCATGTGTTTGAGCGCATTTGGGATCTGCTTTTCCAGCCACCACTTGGTCATTCATCCCGTTTCTATCGACTTGGGCGGGCCCAGTTTTAAATCCTCTCTCATCTTAGTCCGTTTTGTTTTTGGCTTCTCGGATGAGCAAGACTGGTCCAAACATGAATATTCAGTCCATGGAACTGACAAATTCTTGAAGCCTCCCTGGCTGGCCACTTTTTGCTGATACAGGATCCGTTGAGCCGGGAGACGCGGAGTAAACAGCCGATAATTAATGTCTAGGTGTCCCAGTGCTCGTAAACAAATTAATCACGCGCGCCTGAGGAACAGGCGTCCCAAACAGCGCTAGCTGTGGTTCACATGATGACGGCACTCGTTCTCATTCCTCGGCCCACGCGCAGCGCAGTCCGGCATAACCTGATGCAGGTCCCGGAAAATGTAAGGCGTCGGATCAGGGAAGAAAAACATTGCCCCATTCTCACATACTCGAGCCGGCGCACAATACAGTCGATGGAGCCTGGTACTCGGCCCCGGAAAGCATAGAGCGTCGGGTCACAATAGAAAAGAGTTGCAAACAACGTTTCTTCACTTCCAGATGATAAATAACATGCAGACACCATTAATAGCATGTCCTTTGAAGCGAATTTCTGCACAGGTGTGTGTTCGATTCAGTTTTGCTTATTTCAAATGGATTCGGACTCCCACAATTGAGAGCCTAATGATAATGGAAATAAAAACCATTGAATAACAAGTGAGCCCAAACATATTTGTTCCAGTCTATATAAGCGAGAAAGGCCTTGAGCTCTTATTTCTCCGTTTGATGAGCTCAGAGTTATCGTGCTGATAGCTACCGACCCCCATAAACAGCGAGGTACCTACTGGTTAAAGAACGTCATCAAGCAAACATTGGTTGCATTGGTAATACTCAAGCATGAGATCAATGTTTGCTTAACAACGTGTACGAGTACCTCCTGGTATATTACAGATCGATAACTATGAATAAAAGAACTATGAGTTCATAAATATTTGTTTCGGCCATTTCCACTCCGATGCTTCCGATTCCTAAATCGAAACACTGAGAGAAGGTCTGAGTCAAAAATCAAATTAGCTTTATCCTTTCAAGACACGCGACCAAAATAGTATAACTTTTTAGGTTTCCAACGAATCTTTACACCGATATTAGTACTACTTAAGCGTATATGATTTAGAAATACCATTTCCGAGCACTTAAATTCGAAATGAACATTGATGAACATAGAAGTGAGAATCAGCACCAGTCATGAGTTGGTACTCGTGTCAGTTCATGTCGTATTAGTATTAGCCATCAGGCGTTAGTTCTCACTCTTGTCAATTCGTAACAACTTTAAGCCAGCATGCAGCATGCAAGAAAGCTAGCAGCACCAAATTTGCAGGGTGCGTTGACCTTTACGTGAACTCACTTAGGTCAAAATTTGAGGTTCCTAAGTCATGACCTTTGGGTCAAAAAAGTAAAACAAGGTCAAGTTCCAGGTCGGTCACCAAAGTGCTCCCAGAACCTAGATAACCGTTTCTAAGCAAAATGTCGCATGCTCATTTAAGGTCAGTGACCTTTTTTAACCATTTAAAGGTCAATGTGACAAACATAAAGCAAAATTGCCTTGGGTTTTGCATTTAACCAAGCGACAAAGATTACGCTAGGCAGTGTGTTCCTAAAACAAAACGTTGACCCGAGTCATTTTAGGCCAATGACTTCTTCTGACCTCTAAGAAGTCCATGGAAGATGTATAATGCGGTTCCTGCTATAAATAAACTCGAAATGAGCACCAGAATCTATCCCATACAGCAAGCCCTAGGGTGGCAAAACGGGTTGGTTTTAACCTTGACGTGACCTTCGCACCTGACCTTAGGTCAATTTAATTTACTCATTCAACTGTTGTGTTGCCTAGGAAAGCACCTCAGAGATGTACGGCTTCGTCTAAAACTCCGTTGTTGGATCAGATTGAAAGATTCCCTAGAAATTGCCTTCGCTGAAACCATGGCCTGACTTTGACCTGCCATAGGTCGGCGACCCTACAAGGTACATCTAAATTTTTGATGCAAGCGATCTGCTATTCAGTTATCTACAGCTATGCAACATTTGGCGCGGCTTTGGAAACCATTCTGGAAAAACCTTGAGGGTCCATTTGACCCCCCCCCCCCCGAGGGCGTGTTAAGCCTGTCAGTGGTACAGGTTCCTTTTTAATTGCGGGGGATGGGCTTTAGCCCTGTCAACGTGAACTCCAGCTCCCCACTCCCAATTATGAAAGGCAATTAGGTCGGATCCATGGAAAAATAGCTTGTTCGTGCATTTCGGTAGAAAGTTACGTCATCTTTTAACGCTCAGCCGTTAACGCTCCGGGAGGCTGAAAGTTCAAAAGTAACGCAACATACTCCCGAAATCATGAGCGTGGCTTTCCAAAATGAGTCGGGTCGCCCATGATGCGTGGCACGTGCTCGGTCTTCCTTGGTGCAATCCGCCTGTTTTAACTAGGGTTGAAATGCGCCCACGAAATTTTAAGGATTCATAGACTATTTCACAAAGTGCTATGATCGTAATCGTTTTTGCGAGGGACAGGCTTTTGCGAGGAGTCAACACTGTTTTGTTTTTAAATAAGTTAAACTCATAAGGCGTTCGCATTGATTTCGAAGTTCTTCCCTTCATTGACACGTACGCAAGAGGTTATGCGAACAGTGTACATTAAACGGAAAGAGAAAAAACTTTTTGTGTCTTGTCTGTCGTCCTTGATATCAAGTTCAACAAGGAAATGTACTTTGTACAGATATTAATGACAATCATAAGTTACCAATAATGACGAATAAGTAAGGTAATAGCACTTGACAGCGTCTTCAACAGAGTGCTCCAGCGTCTCCAACGACAGCGTCACCAGTTATTTTCTCTTATAATCAATCAGACATCAATCAGACGGCCTCCGTTATCGTTATATATATATATATATATATATATATATATATATATATATATATATATATATATATGTGTGTGTGTGTGTGTGTGTGTGTGTGTGTGTGTGTGTGTGTGTGTGTGTGTGTGTGTGTGTGTGTGTGTGTTGTGTGTGTGTGTGTGTGTGTGTGTGTGTGTGTGTGTGTGTGTGTGTGTGTGTGTGTGTGTGTGTGTGTGTGTGTGTGTGTGTGTGTGTGTGTGTGTGTGTGTGTGTGTGTGTGTGTTGTGTGTGTGTGTGTGTGTGAGTGCATATGTTATCCCTATTACACAGGGTCTCGACACGGAGCCAAAAACAGTCGGTTCCGTGTCGGTCTGAGCTCTCGGGCTCATTTTCCAAGCAGGAATAAGGTCGGGCCCGCAATTTGCATTGGTCGGCGCCCCTTTAGCAATGCGGGGCTCTTGTGTTGGTCAGTGTCACAGTGCCTAACCGAGTGTTCTGTACCAACAAGGGCCTCGAGTCGATCAGGAGAGCATTTGCTGAACCGGAACGGGGACAGGACCCCAAATGGTAAAAGACCTCTTGCGTTGGTCAGGGCTCTGTGGCAATGAACGGAAGCATAGCAACTTATGATGAGTGTTCAGTTGCGACAATGGAAGGGTCCTGTGTCAGTCAGGGCCCCCGGTGCCGAACGGTGAGCTCTTCATTCCAGTTCCAGCATAGACCCGTTAAGCCGAGCTGGAGTTTATTTGCCAATTATTGGATCACCTGCGGCGATCAGAGATCTTGCTGCGTCAGTGAGTGTTACTGCGCCCATCCGAGGCCATCTGCGTGGGTCAAAGAACGTCCCGCGTCAGGGAGAAGACCGATGCGATATGAAGCATTTTTCTAAGGGCCCCGGATCGACCAGGGCATCCCAACCCCCTGTCGCCAGACTGGCAGTCGGAAGGTATCCCTCGATGGGGCGGAGTGGCCCTTCACCCCTAGGCCTGGAAAGATAATGACCCCATGCCTCCCCCCCATGGCCCCATGGCCCCAAAGTGTTCTACTCAAGCGGCTTTTGTCTGGATAAATTAAGGGGTATCGTTAGTGTGGAAATGAGTGGGTAGAAATAAGTTAAAAATGAAAAAGACTAGGTAAAGAAGTTAATGCTGCTTAAATACCAGGACGGTGCGTTTTTCTCCAGTTCTGATATTGACCTCTGGACGGATTTACAGTTACAACAATACGAAGAAGGGACGCACATTTACTCTTTCTGTTTCACACTACCAGATCTTCGTCCCCGCGCCCCAATCCTTCGTCCCCCACCCCCAACTTGTCAACGCTTAGCGTTAACCACAGGGCCGACGCCGAGCAGCATGCGGAGACTGCAGCGCCGGGTGTCTAGGTTTTTGTTGCTATGGCTTGGAGCGTGCACGCTCAAAACTGCTTACCTCATTTTTATCACGACTGATTCGGGCTGAATGTTGAACCTTTCGAAGCAAACATG